AGAGGGAGGGGGGGGAGGGGGAGAGAAAAAGAGAGAGTGAGAAACAGAGTTTTAGTAAGAGTATTATGACACTTGTAACACAATAAGGTCATATAAGTGTCGAAGATAAGGTGTTATAAGAGAGTAACAAACACAAAAAAGAAGGAGGGGATAAAGACAATAGATGTTTGATAGGAAATAAGAAGCAAACCACACCAGAGCACCCACCAACCACCCACTGAGCGATATATTACTCTGATGATTCATATCATCATCAGAATCACATTCCACATCTGACTCGTAACAAAAAGGTCATGGGTTTGCGCCTCGTCAAGGGCCCGACGTTTGTGTCATTGGGAAAGGCACTTTACATGAATCTTGTTCACCTCACCCATGTGAGAATAGACAACTGGCTATAGACAGTGAAAAATCATGTCAGTCTGTTAGTGTTTGAATGCTTAATCGACTGCTGGCACAGTATGCTTCCTGAGAAGTTGAAAATGTTTCTTTAAGGTATAAGTAAAAATTTGTAAAGCGTTTTGAGCATGCTGCAGAGCATGGACATGCACTATATAAAAGCAATTATCATCATTATCATCATTATTGTTGTATATCAAAAGAAAGGAAAAATGTGACCATCATCTAGTTAAGATGTCATTAACCCCAACTCTACAGCTTCTTTAAAATGCCAAAAGTTTCACATTAAACTTCCCCCTCTGAAAACTACTTTGCTTTTAATAAAGAATCTCAACAAATTAAACAATGTAATACTTAATCTTATCTTTAAAAAAACCATCAAGACACACGAAAGGTTTTTACCTCATTTGCTTCAATCAAATGTGGTCTATTCAGATTGAAATTCAATTTATGCTAAGAAAATCCAATATTTAGCATGAATAAGGATAGGTAATTAGAACTTCAAAAAATACCTGTGAAAAGTAAAACAGGCCCAACATCTTTATCACCGGCTACCAGACCAGAGAGAAGTCGACCTATCATAGATCCAATTCCCATGGAGGTGTAAAGGAAAGACGCTTGCATTTTGTCTGTGCCCTTGCTGAAACAAATAATTTTTTAAAAGTTACTTTCTAGGTAATCTGGAAAACAGATTCTAAAACTCAGGGTATCATTATTAAAGAAATTTTCACAAATATACAGCCGAATCATGACTTTAACCTCAGTGAAATTCGAGATACATTACAAAAAGACAAAAACAAAACTGAGATACTGTTGAACCTGTTCTAGTGGCCACCTGTCCAAAGCAATCACCTGTACAAACGACAACTTCCCATTTCTCCCCCCCTTAGCTTTATTTATATTACAATGACACTGTCCATGATACCCACCAATCCAAGACAACCACTTTTTCCGACAATGGATGGACATCTTGGACAGTTTCGACAGTAATTGTTTTCTTCCCAACAGTTATCGGACATATGCAAACCTTCTCATAAAGAGTTTTCCAGCTGAACATGAAATAGCGAAACATACAACAAATATTGCATTCTCTGACATAATTGTACAACCAAATAAACACTAGTACATCTAGGCTCATGCATGCTCACATACAACAGGATTCTCAGTGAACTTAATTTTTTTTTCTCCCAAAAATTAAAAACGAGTTGACCTGAAGGCTGAAGGGTTTACCCTGATCTCATCCTGTAGTTATTCTAGAAATTTGGGGGTATCCTTAGCGGGTCCTCTTCTTTTCCCAGCCCTCTCATGTCTCTATTTATTGTCTATCTTTTTTTTACATCTACCATTAAATCTCAAGAGAAGTTACCATAGATTCTACTGCCCAGTGTTGAATTGATTTTCAAACACACAAGACTAGCTTTTCAATTCTCTCAAAATACTTGTACACTACCCCTTTCGGCAGACTGGGGTTGACCTATTCTGCTTTGACCATAAGCTGCAAAAGTATCTTTAGAGTGAACAGCATACAAATAGGACTTCAAAATATTGTGACAGTGACATACCCCCCCCCCCCTAAATATCCAGAAATAACATCTGGAAAAAAACAGGGGTGGAAACAAACTCTTTGGCATGAGATCTGAGAGACAAACATCTTCCCTCTAATTTAAAACATCTGCAGTACTCTTGCTTTTCCTCCCAGCAACACACTTAGGTCATTTAAGTGCTGAAGATTAGAGCAGTTACAAGAGAGTAACAAATCAAAACTTCATTTGATTTGACGAATGCAATAACATCTTACCTCACGGCATATGATGGGAGATAAATCATAATAGGAGATTCACCAAATGCCCACATGAAGTTTGACAACAGGAATATAAGAAAAGGCCTGTTGCGTAGCAACCGCAGTGAATCCAGGACTTGTATTGCAAAACCTGTTAGAGACTGGAAAAGAGAGAGAGAGAGAGAAAATCAATGACAAGTCAGTGACAGTTGTGATTTACACAAGAGTCAACAAAATGATAACCACATTTCCTCAGGAACAGATTTGAACAAATTCAGTGCAGAAAATAAAAGAATGAGCAGAGCGTATCTAGACACTCACAAAATACTGGCGATGACTCCTCTGTTAAAATTAGGAGTCTCAGGACTGAGCTCTTGCAAAGTCAGTGTGGCTAAAGCATTAGGGGCAAAATAAAATAGCAGCTAAAAAGGTTAGAGAAGAAGAAGGTGGCAGAGACAAAGTTATATTGTCATTGATGTTGTCGATCCTCTGACAATTCAGCTTGTGGACCTTTGCCATGTGCCATTTAGAGACATCCCACTAGCCATAGCACCTTGTCCAGAGAGCTTTTCTGTTTGGATGAGAAATTGTACTTTAAAAAACGGTAGAGGGTTGCCTGAGAAGTGAGGAGAACTACACTCTTATCTCACAGAAAAATAGGTCCTGTTTGTTACACTCACTTGCTCTATAGGTAGGTGAAAACAACAGTTCTCCAGCTTTATAAGCTAGTAAATTAAATAATAAATACATAAATACATAAATACATAAATAAATAAATTAATTAAAAACACTTTACTGATGCCCATGGGGAAATTTTGCTTACAATGGAAAACATACAGACATAAATACAAAATCAAACACACAAACATACATACAAAAAATATCAAATACACAATATTACACCATGAACAATTGTGCAAATATACTATTGCTGGTCGCCACTGTGCAGTGACCTTTTTGTTTTAGCAAGGGCTATCATATCTTGCTCGGGGACACACCCTGTGACTACCCACTTAAACCCCCTGTCACAGACACTTTCTTGACATTATTTTCGAGTCTGAACTCACTACTCATTCAAAAACGAATGCAGGAAAAGGAAAAGGAGAGAAAAGAACAAATATTTTAAATATTTTACTCACTCTTCTGTGACTAGTAGTCGAGCTGTAAGCCTCGAATCTCGAGAGATCATCCTTGATGATAGCCAAGGAGGTGGGGAAACTGGCCACACTGCCCATCATGGTGGATATACTGCGAGAGCCAAGCGCATATCGCGGGGCAATAGCATCTCGGGGGCGGAGCTGCGAGATGAGGGTGGAGGACAGTGATTCGTTGTCGTACTCGCCAGTATGGGAATGGTCTCGGAGCGAAAGACGGCGGCTGATATGGCTCATGGAAGTGTACTGAGACTGGGATCCCGCGGAGAGCAGGCGACCGCGATGGGGTGGAGGTTTATTTAGTAATGAAGTGGAGGCTCCGTGGGTGCTGGTGGGGGAGGGTGGGGGGAGGCGGGAGGAGGCGGTCACCGATGGGGTCAGGGTGCTAGTGGAGAAGAACTGGGAGCTGGAGTGGTGTAACGGCAGCTGGCTGCTACTGTTGCTGTTTATGTTGTTGTTCAGGTGCTGAACGCTACCGTTGCTGTTGACGTTGTTGCTGAGATGGTGATTGCTGCTGCCCAAAGCATGTGAGCTATTAATGGATGTAGCCGTGTGCAGGTGACCATTGGAGATTGCATTCATCGGGCTTGTCGGTGTAGGGGTGCCATTCATTTCAGTGTTCACAGAGAGTAGCTGGTTCGACTCCCCATGACCAACAGTACCAGGAGCTAGCTGCTGATGCTTGCTGGAAGTGGAAGTTGTCTGCGTGGGGCTGGTCACGTGAGAGCGATGGTGAGACCTGTTGGTGGAGACGGAGTAGCTGGACCGAGACATCTCCTTGTGGAGCACTGCCTTCAACAGCGGCATATCGATCTCCCCGTTGCTGAGCTTGCTCGTGTTGCGAGAGACCACCGAGCGCCTCCCATGGCTGATCTTGTCCATCCCACTCATCATGCTGTGGTTGACACTGCCAAACAAGCTGTTCAGGCCGCTCATCATGCTGTTGTGACCACTGGTCAGCTCCTGCTGACTGCCTTGCCTGTTCAGAGAGCTTTTCACTCGGATTTCATGTTCAATCTGTCGGAACCGTTCCTCTGGGGAGGGTCGGAAGAGCATTCCGATGGCGGTCAAATGGAACACAACTCCCGACCACAACATGTATGCACCACTTAAGCCATAGGTCCTCACAAGTAGGGACACAATGGCTCCACCTGAATTAAGACAAAGACGTACAATTCAATTTTAGATAAACAATCCTTTCCGCACACCTTAAGTTATTTTGAAGGAAGGCCTCAGAATCAAAAGTCAGTTTCTTGCAAGTTTTCCATGGAAGCAGACATACAATGTGATCTGTTTACATGTACTTAAGTGACTACCTGAGGGTGAGTGCCTTTCAAACTTTGAACTCGATGCCCTTACAGAAACAGCTGAATTGCTCCATCTGACTTTCTAAATTCTTCCTAAACTTAAAAAACACTTGAATGAAGGGAAGTCAATATAGCAATATTCAATGATGTAGAAATCAAAGCTGATGATCATAGAAGGTGCAAAGGAAAGCTGACTGAATTTTTTGCCCATTCAGTGCACAGACTTGTTGCTCATTTGCATATTTGTGTTGATAGAGATGGTGACTATGTTGAAAAAATCAAGGTAGAACTTTACAGCAGACATCCTACGCTTTCAATACATATAAAGTTTGTGTTCGTGTCCATTTTGAGTCAGCCCACTTATACATTTACCCAATGCCTAACATGTTGCACTCACAGAGTAGCAAAAAATTTGGCATTAGGACATGATTTGAAGTTTGAGAAAAACCAGAAAACATATTGACTGCTCAGTGTAAAACTCCTTCAAATGTCACTTTCAAAATGGCAGAGGCAGAGTCCTACATTAAGCACACAATTAAGCGCCTTAAAACGTATACCTGTTAACATTCCCGCACCAGCCCCAGTGGCCAGCAAGCCGCAGGCAAGGCCTCTGTACCGACAAAAGTACTGGCCCACGATGACAAAGACAGGGTTGAGGATGAATCCAGCACCCACACCTTTGAATATGAGATGAAAAAACAAGCATGACTACAAATGTTCATTTTTATTATTTGCATGAGTAAACTCCTTGCTGAACATACATCTATCATGTTGAAGATGGATCCCAAAACTTTTGAGAATTTAGTTTCTATTGTTTTTGCAGATCCAAAGCCTGGATCGACAAATTCGCATTAAAAAGAGCTGGACAGAAGAATAGAGAAGAGATTTCACCCTTACGCTAGAGGATGTGGCATATGAGTGGCCCCTCACTAGCAGGAGAACTTTGCCTATTGTCAATAGGAATTGTCTATACTTTTCCCTGGCCGGCTTAGTAGTGCTGTGCGATTTTGAGGAAACGAAACTTCATCAACGCTTCAAAGTGTGAGGTCTTTATTCATGCTATTCGAAAACCGCATGCCAATGGATTTTTTAAATATACATATATCTTTTCCCAAGATTCGCTATTAAGTATTCAGTATTCATAGCGCTATTCACTGAGACTGTCGATTTAATGCAATGACGTCACATCACCATTCATTCAAGGTACGACTAGTAAATATTGAAAGGTAGTGAATACTTCTTAAAGGAAAGTTTTATAGGTCTTGTTGGCTCCACTTACCATGTCTTATAACCATCAGTACAAAGAATTGTTGTATTTACGTCAATGATTTTTAAAATGTAAAATGCTCTAAATTAATCAGCAGTTTGAGAAAAACAAGACGAAGATCCATTATCTGCCAAAAATCACATGGCATTCAAAAGGTTGTGCCATGCTTCAAATAACCATGATTAGTGCCAAAATGGTGAATATTGAATAGTTAAGTCGAATGTGTACAGATATACAGCTCAGATCAGTTCATCAAAGTGAGTTTGCAGATTTAAAAAAAAAATCCAAGCTTAGAAAAAGTAACAAAACAATTAATTACATTTACATTTAACTAGAAGCTATGGGGTGTGAAAAGTGACACAGTGACAGTAATATGCCCCTTCATTTTAAAAAATGTCACCCCTTACATACAATTACAGTAGAAACTGCTTAAGACACGGCCACCCATTGTAGAAGAAAACAGTGGCCTTTTTAGACAGGTGAACATCTTACAGTGTCATTGTAACATAAAAACAGTGCAAGGGAAGAAAAGGGAAGTGGCTATTTGGACAAGCGATTGTCTTACATAGATGGTCATTAGATAGAGCAGTTTCAACTAACTGTATTTCTAAGCAAAAAACTAACTATGCTATAACATGGCAAAGAGGTACCTGCTATAAGTCCGTGAGTCAGAATCAGCTGTCCCACCGTAGTGGAGAAGGAGGCACCGAGAAAACCAAGAGTGAAGACCACACCGGCCAGAGACACGATGATCCGGGCTCCAAACTTTTTAAGAGCAGCCCCGACGAAAGGACCTTGAAGAGTACAGTTGAAGGAATGAGACTTGAAAAAATGTACCTTAATTAATAATAACAATAGTTAAAATCATGATTTTTAAAAATAAATAAATAATAATAATAATGAAAATAATAAGGCAGAAAATGTCTATAGTGCCTATTCCCATACAATACAGCTCAAGGCACCTCCATCTTAACAAAAATTACAAATGAATGTACACTCATATATACGCTCTTTAGATTAAAGTTGATGCATAAGCAGATATTCATGTTTTCACTGTCGGCATTTAAAACATTAAAAACAGTTTACAACAACAACAACAACAACAACAACAACAAAAACCCACCTGTTAAACACTGTGCACAAACAAACACCGACCCAACCCAAGACGCTTTTGTCAAGTCTGGGTCAATCTCTTCAACGATGGCAGATATCAGTACACCTAGTAAAAAAACAACAAAAAACAAAAAACAAATTTTTAAAAATACAAGATTGGATAGAAATCTTGGTGCTGCTGTAGCAACAGCTAGCTGTTAAGGGGAATAAAACAATTTTAGATATATTAAACCATCTGTTTACCGTACTCAGCAAGTTTTGATTTTTACGTCACAAAACAAATTACTCTTTTTCTACGGTGTTAAAAGAGAGTTCAAATCTTTGGCAATATACTCTCTCAATTTGATGTCATATAATTCCAGTGAATGAATAAAACCAAAATAAAAATATTTCATTAGTGTTTGTGACAGTAAGACAGATGTATTTCTCCAGACACCAAATCATTTTTACTTCTGTTGAAAGTAAACAGATTAATACAACATGGATGATGCCAACAACATCAATTATTAGTTCCATTAGTGATTGTGACAGTAAGAGAGATGTTTTCTCTAGGCACCAAATCATTTTTACTTCTGTTGAAAGTAAATAGATTAATTTAACATGTACAATGCTAACAATATCAATTGTGATATAAAGTGCAAAAATATTTTCATATTTTCAATTTAAAAAAGCAGAAAAATATGTCTAAATAGTAAGCCATAGGACTCTATAAACGTGCTCATGAAGATAGGTATATTTGTATGTCATTAATTGCATTTGTATGTCACTAATTTTGCAACATTAAAAAAGCAATTAGAAGTCAACATATATTACTTTTCTGGTCAGCAAAATTTAGTAGACAAATTTGACTCTAAGTGTCTTTCTTGTTGACCAATGACACTATTCCCTAGAACATAAAGTTGCTTTCGAATGAGGAGCTCCTAGCTGTGTATCACCAACTCTAGGGACCTTTTCATGCAGGAAGCAAAGTTTGATCGTCCCAATTTTGTTTCAAATATACACAATGGCCAGCCTGACATTCTGCCCAACTCAATCATGCAGCCCAGGCTAGATGAATGTCATTTCAACGTAAGATATATGCATAACAAATGTTCCATTATGCGAAATCTGTGGCTGACTCATCAAATCAACACTTAATTTCATAGTCCTGTTTGCCAATGCAAATCAGATGAGGGCTGCCATAATTAAGAAATATTACAAACTAAGATTGAAAAGCAAAAGAAATAAAGAGGTTTTTATATGAAGCTGAACTTAGTAATTTTGGAGCAATCTGTGAGCATTAGTTCTTTATAACATGTGAAATATCATTTCATCATTTCTTCCCTCATGCAATGCGTTAGCAGATTGGACTTGTAGTCCTTTGAAAGTAACAATTAGTTGCTGTATGAAAGTAATGCCCAACAGGATGGCCCAACAGGATGCAAACAGACAATCCCAAAGGCATGGCATGAGCCATGATGGTTAGAGAAAGGAACAAAGGAAATAGAAGGAAAGAACACACTGATGTTAGGTAAATATTACACATGTGTGTCATTCTACCATATCAGAGTCTGCAGTAGTGAGTCTGCTCATTACCTTCCAACTCTCTGGAAAGGTGGAAGGGAGGGGTTGCGAAGCTGTAATTAATGTTCTGATTACCTACTCTTTCAAATTCAAGTTTGGTAAGAGTTTTATGGAGCTGACTCCAAACACAACATATCACAAATCTGTATTAGTTCTACTTAAAAACCAAATAGAAGGCAGCATTGTTGTCAACTCATATTTACTCAACACTACCCTCAGAGACAGATGCAAAATACATACCAAACTCGCAGGAAGGCTATTATAAGCGTAAGAATGCAATTACTGCAACTAAGAAAATGATAAGTAGATGGGAAAGCCATGTCCCTGAGGGATGAGCAGGCATATACGTTTTAGCTACCGAATAATTATATTTTGGAGCAGAAGCCAATACAACAGTGTCATAGGACAAAAAGATAATTAGATGTTTTAGAAAAGTTTGTTAGAATTATCTTAACACAGATTAAAAAAACCAGCATGTATCATAATTAGTTTAAACAGCTTGGTCTGCTGTGTTAGAAATCAGAAGAAAAAGGGAGGTAAATATTATCAACCTTTCAGGAACTCAAAACAGTTTTAGGGAACATAACTTTCAATAATCTATTACAATTTTTCCTTTTCTTTTTTCAATAGATGGATATATATTAAACATTTCTTAAGCATATACACAAATGTACGGAAATATAAAGTTAACATTTTTTTTAAAAACCCACTAACAAAGACTTGGTACAATTCAATTTCAAAAGGCCTCAAAGGAAATCTTTTTGGCATCTGATCCTTTCACTGGAATACAAGGGAATTCACAAAAATCGATTAATTTTTTTTTTAAAGGTGAAAAGAAGAAATCATGAGCCTCTCCAAAGATAGTTACAGGATGGGGAATATGAAGCAAGGGTGCTGATTTTTTTACAGCATTTTATGTTGTGGAGAAACAATGGTCCCACTTCCTTGAGAAGGTTGATTACTGATTACAACATCTTTATTTTGTCACAGAATCAGCTGATCATGGAATTCAGTTTCCATTTCAAATTGTCACCACTGCCTTCTGTTTTCTCCTGAGAAAAGGTTTATCTTAAATGAAAATACAGAGGCATAGAAATATAAAAGCAAAGCTGTGTTAAATACTGCTCATCATCTTGAGACCTTGTTTCATAAGACAGCAGAAAAAAAAAAGTAATCTGAAATAGAGATGAAACGGCGTTCTTATTAAAAATATTTCAGTTGACTTGAAAAGAGCTGCCTATGCGTAAAAAGGAAATGTTTAAAAAAAATTAATCATGCTGCCAAGAGACTTTGCAAAAAAACTATACTATCTAAAAAAAAATTGTTAAAAGACAATCCCCGCCCCCCCCAACACACACACAGACACACTCACACTCCCCTTTAACACAAACAAAGCTTTTGGAGGAGACAGACAGAGGGAACAAACTTGGATATTAAGTCTGAAGCAGTGATTATCAGTATTTAAAAGATGCTGTCAGTGGCTGTAAAGGATAATGAAAGGAAGGGCAAAACAAAAAAAAAGGATCAAGACCTATACATCTGTGACGCAGCAATCAGGTGTCGAGTCTTTCTACCATGTTTTTCACTCTGTGGCTTACTGCGGAAAAGATTAAAAAATTTAGAATCTCCCTCACGATGCCCATAAAATCACACATAGAACTCCTTGTCCACTGACTATTTAATTGGGTACAACCAGGTAGTCGTCATACTACCTGAAAATAATACAAAACAGTATGTATGAACAAGATCATTGGAAAAAAAAGTTAAAACCAGTTGCTCTGTTAAACACCAAAAGCTTCCTTTTCACTCTCAATATACATATATATTATATCTATATCTATCTATATATCTATATAATAAGATTTTGTATGTGTTTGTTTTTGTTTGTTTTTGTAAAGTGTTTTACGGCGCTCGCAACTGCATAAAGGTCATATGAGCGCGCGGGATACTCCTAATGTTTTCCGTTGGTAGGAAATTTTGAATTTTGCCCGGGTGGCGGTCGAAGCCTACTCTTATCGATTTTAGACCACCAAGGGATCTTTAACGTGCGCAACTTGCACACGGGCCCTCTGAGATTTTTCGCCCTTGTCCGAGAAGGCTACGAGTAGATCTTTCCTACCAGAAGATCAGGGGTGTGGCAGAAAGACAGCAGTAAGGAGGAGCCAAGGAGTAGCAGTAGAAAGGTTGCAGAAAGAGTCAGGAGCCCAGAGTAGCGGGCAAAGGAGGTGAGGGGGTGGGGGCAGAAAGTGGAAATGAAAGCAGACAACAGAACATTGCTAGAGAGCAGGAAAGGAGATGAAAGGAGACAATTTTAGAGAAGAAAATTTTTCGGTCGCTACCCGGATTCGAACCCGGGACCTTTGAATGAGAGGCCAACACCTTAACCTCTAGGCCACGAGAGTCCCCTTTTGTAGGTGTGAACTTTATTATATATGTAAGATTTAGTATGTATGAACTATATATAATATATATATCTATCTATCTATATCTATATATATATATCTATATATATATAGATCTATATAGATAGTTCATACATACAAAACCTTACACAAAGCACTCCTGGGAGTGGTGCATTCTGAACATCATATCTACAAAAACAATAATGAATAGTTGATGTAAATATTGAGCTAGAAAAATAATTGACAATATTAAGTAAGTCATGAAAGAGAATAAATACGATACAAAGCAACACCAAGAAAAAAAGAAATCTAGGGTAGCTCTGTTTGTGGAGCTTTAACACTATCCATAAGTAAGTGCAGGAGTTTATTTCTAAAATAAATAAATGCGGAATTTTATACTGATAACACAAACACCAAAACAGAAAAATAGACAGGCGTGCAGACTGACCCCCTCCCATCAACCTTAAAATTAACGCTATACTAAAATACGTTACAACCACCTACATAAAAACACTGCAATGAAATTATTATAATTAATTGACTGAAAACTAAGCATAAGTATGAAAACTACAATCGAACCAGCCTTAGTGGTCACCTGTAGCAATAGCCACTGTACTAAGGGTTTTTTAGTAGAGGATTTACGGTGCTCGCAACTGCATAAGGTCATATCGAGTATGAGAGCCAGAAAATTAGAGGTGTTACAAGAGAGTAACAAACATAAAAAAGAAGAAAGGGAGAAAAGGACGATAGACGTTTGACAGGAAAGAAGAAGCAAACTACACCAGAGCCCCTGCCAACCACCCACACTGTACTGTGACACCCTGGTATTTTTCCCATATTTTAAAACTTTCTAATACAGCTACTGTCAGTCATGTTCATAACCTGTTGGCCTCAAAACCTGCTCAAAGCAGTCACTTACTATAAAAAAATTTCCATCGACTCATTCTCAGATTGAGCACGTATGTTCAATCAACGGGTAAAAGTTCTTGAGATAGATTGCAATTTTGACAGAAATTAAATGGAAAGATAAAATTAGAATTCCAGATTTCAAACAATCAGATGACTTAGTCAACTGTGACCATAACTCAGACCATGTTTAAAACATGAATGATGTATACTGGTTACTTTTCTCTGTGATCTTGAATAAATGCTGTGAACTGGTTAGACAACTACTATTTGCCATACCATAACCCTCTTTCCAACAACTTAAAAAGCGTAAATGACAAAGTAAGCACACATATAAACAGAAATAAACACTCTAAAGAGAGGTATAGCCTGTTTGGTTTTGTGTATAATATGTGTGTGTGTGTGTGTGTGTGTGTGTGTGTGTGTGTGTGTGTGTGTGTGTGTGTGTGTGTGTGCGAGTGTGTATGTGTATGTGTTTGTGTGTGTATGTTTGTGCGTGTGACAAAATGGTGCTCATATGTGAGTGACAAAATGGTGCATGAGTGAGAGTGTATGTGTGTGTATGTATGTACGTGTGTTTGTGTGTGTGAGTGTGTGTGTGAGAGTGTCTGTCTGTCTGTCTGAGTGTGTTTGGAGGGGACTACCTACACACATACACAAGTAACAATCCACATTAAAAGGAAAGGGGGTGGGGCAGATTTAACATGCTGTAAGTTATTATAATATTCAAAGTGAAAGCAGGACAATGACATCATGTTATCCAGAACAAATAAAGCTGATGACAACACCAAAAAAAATAGAAGGAGCAGACCATACCAAATTGGCAAAATTTCAATAAAAAATCCATTTGGAGGAGCACAAATTATGGTGTGCGCGTGTGTGTGAATGTGTGTGTGTGCACGTGTGTGTGTGTGCGAGTGCGTGTGTGTGTTTATGGTAGGGGGCCATTAATCCACTGGGGTTTTATCCACATCTATAAACCTTTCTTAACTAAAACGTACAATACTCTAAATCACACGCAAACACCAATGCCATTGCTTAGCGAGTACCTGAAGCGTAGACACTCCCACCGATAATGGTTTGTGCCAGGAAGGCCGCACAGAGCACCACCCAGGCCCAGCCTCCGTCCAGGTCAGAGGTCGTGTTCTGTAGCGTGGTGACACTGTGTAGATCAAGGTTGGACTGCAGGCCAAAATGCTCATCCTCATCAAAGGGCTGACTGCGAAGTAAAATTTTTAATAATGTAAACACAAGAACTACTGTCAAACCTACTAGCTAGAACAGCCACCTGTATGAGATAATCAATCACCCATACAAACAGTCACTTTCCATTTCCATCCAGCCAGTCCCCCCCCCCCCCCGAGGAACCAACGACTAAACCAATCACAAATGTTCTAATGGAACAAAAAGTGTACTATTAGCACAGTTGGGGGTACTCGATGACAGCATGACACTCGATGACACTAATTTTGTGCTCAATTTGTCCCTTTGTATTCACTAAACTAAATAACAGTTCAGTCAAAAAAAAGTATAGAAAAAAAGACTTTTGTGAAGTAAAGATAATGCCTGTTCATTAATCCGATTGCCAGATGGTGCAGCTTACATTTTTTCGTCCACCTTCCATACACTTCATAAAAATATCACAATGTGTATAATTTGATACATTTATTGCTCACGCAGACTCAGTTTTTGTGTGTCATTCAATTAGGTGAACGAACATTTTTATTACTATTGTACAGCTTCAGTCAGTAGAGGGATGACAACTATAATGACTTCAAATGTGGAGCACTGACTAAAATAATTGCGTCTTACAGCTGGGACAAAATGAGGAGTAGGTCAGTCACAATCAAGCTGCAAAGCTGCCTCCAACAGTAAATGTTAGTAAAGATTTTTACATTTGTATTAATTTGTATCATAAAAGGAGGGGGACTAACACCTACCACATAAAAGAGTATATTTAAAATGTCAATGTTTCACAAACTTTGACATTTACTTACACAGAAACTTGACTTTTTAAAAGCTTATTTTAAAGTGCACCTTCCTTCAACTGAAAACATCATTTGAGTTCCATTGCGGTGAAAACAGGTGCTCATCAAAATAACAAAATTGAAGAAATCAACATTTTTCTGCCCCTTGGGCAATTAAAAAAACCCAACATTTTTTGGCTCAAACCTTTTGTGATCATTTAAAAACATATAATTTGTGTGGATCTTACTGAAAAACTTTGATGAAAGGCACAAAATAAAATGTAAATGAGCAGTTTGCAAGGACACTCAAACTTTGAAAGTCACCCAAATTTGGTGACAATTTTGTGGTCAATTTTACCTCTGATACTAGGTGGCCTCCACTTCCTTCAATCACAAATTTCTCAACTTCTATTCAAGAAAAACAGCGTTTTTTTTCATCAAAATTAAGACAAATATGAACAAGCTTTAAGTTGATACCAGTACCCCACGTGCCCAAAAATTGATGAGCCCTTGATTTCACAGTATCGTGACACATTTTGACATGAAGCATAATATGATCTATGGTCTTCTTACCTTACAGAGTAATGCAATGTTTTCAGGAAGGCTGGATTGTCCAAAGGCCCAATAGTGTCATGCAGGAAGCTATCAGTGCTGTGTGACTGGCCATTTGTCTTGCCTGAGAGTGGATGCACTTCAGTCAGGGGCACAGTGTCCTCTGCTCGTACCGTCCTATCCTGTGGCTCTGACGCTGGCAGTTCAGATTCATCAACGCTCACCACAGTGAACTCCTTGTGGGCCGTAGGCTCTTCACCATTCACTTTTGCTTCTTCCTGTTGATCTTCACTCCCACTTGTAGTAGATGAAGTATGTTTGCTCTCCTCTGTGGCCACATCATTTTCACTTGCTTTCAGAGAACTCCCACCACCTTCAGACGTTTTATCCACACTACTGCTTTTGAACAAGCTGAGAACGGAAGGTCGTGTGGCCGGGGTTGACTGCCTTTCATCAGAGATTTCAGCGATAGACGACTTCCCCTCAGCTTCAGAGGAGTCTGTCTCCAGTTCAGCAGCAGTCAGGCTGTCTGTGAGGTCCTCCGAGGCAGTGTCTTTCTTTAGCTCCTCCAGCGGCACCTCAGCAGCAATTAGAGCCAGACCAGCGTGATCAACAAGGTGCACCGGGGTGTCCAGGCTGACGGTGATCGGCATGGCTGCCTTCGAGGTGAGGTCGTAGATTTCCACGTCCTCTGCAAAAGTGACGGCCTTGCTGGTGTCCACATCTTTCTTGGAGTCGTCAGACTCTGGGCTTGTCTCCTCCTCCACTCCGCCAGACTCTGCTTTGGCCACAGCCGAGTCTCCATCTGCTCCATTGGGGACCTTGAGCTCTGAACTGTTACCCATCTCTTCTGGTGGTTGCTCAATGTGCTGAACAATAAGTACAGGGGCTTTATTCATTAAAGACATAGAACCATCAGTAACATTCCCATCTTTCACTTCAGAAGACAAGTCAGCCTTGGTTGGCAGCACACGCGGACTGCTCACAACTAAAAGCTCCGGGGAGGTTGGATTCTCCATCTCAGCTCAAAGCGATCTATCACTCTCTCTTTTTTGGGGGGTCTTTTCTGATGCTGGCTAACACAAGTTGGGCCACCAACTGTGACTGGTACAATCCAGAGCTCACATCATATCATGGTCTTTGGGTGCGCTCAAGACAGAGCAAAGCAACAGAGTGCCCCTCATAAACAAGCATTGCAACAGTACTGATGACCTGTGAACAAAGTAAAAAGAGTTTTCATTGGCATACGAATACATATAGCAGAAAGTCAAGTCTAATTCACGACATCCAAGCAACTGAAACTTGGTATTAAATATAATTGTTTTTTGCATAATTGTAGAGCCTCAAAGAAATAGAATCTATCATTTCAACGGAGGAGCATAAAGTCTTCATTCAGCATCCTTGCAAAAAGGACAATGATTCCTAGAAAAAACAATACACCATTTTGTGACATCAGATTGAAAAAAAAAATTGGAGATCAATACTATGAAACAACAAGTCACTATGACCAAAAAAAAAGCTACAGTATTGCCAAGGACAAATTAGAATAATGCTGCACTGAACAAAGTTATCTGGAGCACACAACAACAGTGCACCTAACACCCATGTGCCCGAAAAGAGGATGAAGACTGAAGGCAAACTTGTGAGACAAAATAGCAGAACCTATGTGAACATTAAAATTTGCAAACATACCACAAAATTCTACATTTATTATTCATTTATAAAATTCTGCGAAACAAACTGACTTATGTGGCTAACTAAGAAAAAAAAAAAAAAGAGACAACTAAGATCACCAAAGCCTGCAAAGCACACAATGATGATGAAGGCTTTATCCATTAGCATGGTAAGCTACAATCTCGCTGATTTTTAGCAACAACAACAATAAGCATCATCCATTAACACATTATGGCTCCCCCCCCCCCCCCCCAAATCTGCCAGACAAAAGTGTTAAAAAATTTTTTTTAAAGATTCAGCTGCAGAACCAACACTACACTGAGCTCTAAGGACCACTGTAAGTAGAAGATGGCATCAACATCACAACCTCAACTTATAGTTGACACGCAATAATGCCTGGCTGATAAGAATAACACTCTAGTACTTCCCTGAGTACATATCTCTGAATCTTCATTTCAATCTTCTTTATCAGGCACTCCCAAAATGGGGGGGGGAAATGGGACACAAACTACATGCAAAATATGATTTAAAAAACAAACATAACAAGAAAAATTGAGCTTCCTTCTCTTTTACCTGTACTTCATAATAAGCAGTATCTGTATATATCTATATATATTATAAACAAATAAATATACATTTCTATATAAAATAAACACAC